GCAGATTAATTAGAAAGAGGTTTCTATGCCAAGGATGATTTCAGATCACGTGGACAGAACATCAGGTCCAATGAACTGGGGACATGAGATGCATGCACAGACTGAGCTATCCAATCACCTTATTGTAAGCATGTGTCCCAAACAAACTAAACTGTATAAAAGTTAACTGATTTAAATAATAAATTGACATATTGCCGACCATAATGGCCTGTGAGCATTATGTTCATGCCTCCCCATTGATAAGAAACACTCAACTTGTTTGTGGTACCGTGGAGCTGGGAATCAGCATCCTCCAGCCAAGGAGCCTGGGCTGCTGCTGGGAGGGATCAGGATCTGCTTCTGCAGCCGTGGGCATGGGAAGTGTGATGGAGGGAGATCACGGGGTCTCTGAAGAGCCATGGAGCCACCAGATAACTGTGGGGAGCTGCAGGGGAGGAGCTGCCAGTGCTGCTGTGGTTTAGCCTTCCTCTAAAGCCGTGGCCACCTTTTACTCATCAAAATGAGCCAACAGCTCTGACCATTCTGACCCGGGAGAAGCTCGTGGCCTTCCAGTTCAACCTGCTGGCATCGATGTTGATGCTGTTCCTTGAAGAGGGGCTGGGAGCAGTGGGGAGCAGGTGCAGGGCAAGGGCCCGGGGACCCAGTGCTTTCCCTGGTGCCTCTCCCTGGGAGGATTGTTTGCTGTGCCATGCCAGGATCACTGTGTCCTTTGGTGCCGGGGACAGTCGCTGCTTGTCCTGTGTTTCCCTTGAGAAGAGCTCCCTCCACCCTTGGAGACGGACCCTGGGGGAGGGAGAAGATGCGGGAGCCCAGAACACAGTCCCATTGTGTGCCCGTGGTTTGGTGCTGGCAGCATCCCGGCCCGCGGTGGCGACGGGGAAACCTCCCTGATGCCTTTTCACAGGGCAGCATAAGGCTGGTGGGGTGCAAGAATGGTGGGACCCCCCCTTGCACAGCCTGTGGGAGCCCCAAGGAGTGGGAACTTCTTCCCCTCCACTGGGGACTGGGGTGGGCATAAAATTACCCATTGCCCTGATGTGTGTGGGATCACAGAGCACTGTCCCAGCACTGGGGGCTGATGCCGAGCAGAGGCTTTGCAGGCCCAAGAGCTGCTGGAGCCCGGTGCAGAGCTGTATTTTTCCCTGAATTCCCAACACTGTGGCCTGCAGATAAAGGGATGTTTGTTAGCCGGGCACGCTGTGTTTTGCAGAGCAGAACAATAAAGAGAAAGACACTCACAATGGGAAATTGTGCTTCCTCCTCCCTGTGCGTTCCTCGGGGAGGTGTTGGAGGGGGAAAAAAAAGAGAAGAAAGCGGGAAGAGACGGTGACAGGGCAGGGAGTGCGGGCACAGCCGGCACCATGGGAGCAGGCAGCAAAGGCCCGTGGGGCCACGGGGCTACCGGGACACTGCCCGTCCCAGGACGGTGACAGGGCAGGGGCTGGGAGCACCCACTCGCCACCTCCCACATCCCCGTGTCCCTGTGCCACCTCTTCTGTGCAGGTTCGACCTTCCTGGAGCCCTCGGCCCCTCCATGGGCTGTATATGACGGAGACGGGACGCAGCAGGAGCTGGGGCATCACATGGGCTGGGGGCCTTGGATGGGAACAGTGGCTCCCCAAAGGACACACCTGGGGACGGTAAGACATGGGGCAGGGGTTGCTGGGAAGCAGGGTTGGCACAGTCTGTGGGCTTGATGTCCCCTTTACACAGTAAAAGTCAGTGAACCCACCACGGAACAGGGCCACCTCCTCTGGTCCCCATGGAAGCTGGGGGATGTCCCACTGCCTGTCCCTGACCCCTGCGCTCCCCCCAGGCACTGTCCTGCCCCCAGCTCTAAGGATGCACAGGCTGCTCCTGCTTGGCTGCTTCTGGCTCCTGACAGCACCCACAGTGTCCAGCATCTTCCAGAGGCCAACTGGGAGCCCAGGTAGGGAGCGGGGCCTGGGAGGAGGATGGGGGAACCCATTTAGGGAGCAGGACCTGAGGGGAAGACGGGGTACTGCTGTTTGGGGTCAGTGCTGGAGGGCAGAGATGATGCTGGGGGGTGTCCAGCTGGGACGGGGGCTGAGCTGTGCTTCCAGAGGATGCAGGAGAGGGGAAGAGGAGCCAGGAGAGAAACCACCAAATGCTTCTAAGGGTTGGAGGGCGCTCAGAGAGGTGTTGTAGGGGTGTTGGGGCCTCAGCAATGCTCCGTGGTGACCCTGTGCTGAGGCTGCCTGGGGGTGCCACAGCCCCCCCGCGCCTGCAGTACCTGCTGGAGCCCCTGCACTCCACGGTGCACACCCAGCGTGGGGCCACGGCCACCCTGCCCTGCGTCCTGCGCGCCCTGCCCCAGAACTACCGCGTCAAGTGGAGCAAGGTGGAGCCAGCCAACTACCGGGAGAGCATCATCATCATCACCAACGGGCTGTACCACAAGAACTACGGGCCGCTGAGCCCGCGGGTGCACCTGCGGCACAGCCACCGCTACGACGCCTCGCTCACCATCACCGACGTGGCTCTGGAGGACGAGGGGCGCTACCGCTGCCAGCTGGTCAACGGGCTGGACGATGAGAGCGTCTCGCTCACGCTGCACCTCGAAGGTGAGCTTGGGCTCCCCCACCCTGGGGGATGCAGCAGGAGACTGAGACCCAATCCAGATAGGGACTCTGGGCTGGACTGGAGGTCTGGTGGGTTCAATCCCTGTATGGGCCATTCAGTTAAGAGTTGGACTTGATGATCCGTGTGGGTCCTTTCCAGCTCAGAATGTTCTGTAACTCCTGTCTGCTGTAACTCCTGTCTGTGACTGGCTGCCTCCAGCCCTTGTTGCACCTCCTCAGCCTTATCTTCATCACTGAATCGCTGGGGATATTAAGTCAAAGCCTCCTCAGGGAGAGCAACTCCCTCACCCTGTCCCTGCCCCTCCAGGCGTCGTCTTCCCTTACCAACCCAGCAATGGGCGCTACAAGTTCAACTACCACGAAGCCAAGCGAGCCTGTGAGCAGCAGGACTCCCGCCTCGCCACCTACCAGCAGCTGTACAAAGGTGAAGCACTCAAAAAAAGACTCTTCTTCAGCCCAAAAATATACCTGGCTGGGCATGGGGAGGAGGAAAGTGCTGGTGCTGAGCTGCCTCTTGCCCCACAGCCTGGACAGAGGGTCTGGACTGGTGCAATGCTGGCTGGATCCTCGATGGGACCGTCCACTATCCCATCATCAACTCGCGGGAGCCTTGCGGTGGCCGCCTCCTCCTGCCCGGTGTCCGGACCTACGGGGCCAAGGACAAGCAGAAGGACCGATTTGATGCTTTCTGCTTTACCTCTGCTCTTCAAGGTAGTGCTGGGGTCCCCTGTCCCTCCCACAGAGCCCTGATGCCCCCCAAAATTAGTACCAGGTCCAGGGGGTTTTTCCCAGGGCATCGTGGCAGCCGCTCACCCGCAGTGTCCCCATCCATCCGTCCATCCCCAAGGCCAGGTCTACTTCATCCGGGGCCACCTGAACTTCAAGGAGGCCGGGCAGGCGTGTCGCAACCATGGGGCTACCATGGCCAAGGTGGGGCAGCTCTACTCGGCCTGGAAGTTCTCCCAGCTGGATCGCTGCGACGGGGGGTGGCTGGCGGACGGCAGCGTGCGCTACCCCATCACCACCCCCCGCCAGCGCTGCGGGGGGCTGCCGGACCCCGGCGTCCGCAGCTTCGGCTTCCCCAGCAAGGAGATGAGGACCTACGGCACCTACTGCTTCGTGGGGAAGTAGGGAACGCCGGGAGGAGAGGTGGGCTGAGCAGAGGGGGTGGTGGCGGGACACCAGCCCTCGTCACCCGGGCAGAGAGTTTGAGGTGGGGTATGAGGGGATGGTCTCTCAGCGATTTTGGGTGGTTCATGCATCATCTGGAGAAGAAATGGAGCTGGATTTAGGTGCTCAGTGCATGCTCTCATGGAGCTGCTCCCCACACCCCAGCCTGCTGCAGGACTTGTGGGCTGTTCAAGGCTTGCTGGAGAAGCCAGACCCATTGCTGGGCCAGGAAGGGGGTCTAATCCATCCCCCCCAGCAGGCAGCACAGACTCCCCATTCCCCAGCTCCCATGAATCCCTCACCCCATCCTCGCTCCCTGCAGCCATGAGGACTCTCTCTGGTGTGAGCACAGAGGACTTGGGCTGGGCATTAACGAGCGTGACTAATGGCGTGTCGCCTTCTCAATTAATAAAGCAACAGCAAAGCTGCACAGCAAAGCCACACTCCTGCCTGGCTCCTTCCCCTGGGACCATCTGGGCCTCTCCACAAGGGGAATTTGACAGGGACTTTCCATCTCTGATGCCCTGTCCAGGGGTTATCTGTGTTCCAGGCTCCGGGGGTTTCCGGGTGTTGCTGTTTGATACAGCCCAGGAGAGCTATAAAAAGCTGTGGAACTGGCACAGTGTGGGGGGATTAACAGCCTGGGGAGATGCTGGCATCCCCTGGCACCTGTCTCGTGTGTTTGCTGGTAGCAACATCCCAGTTCAAGCCCTGACCAGTGCCCAGTGTCACTGGGATGTGGGGGCACTTTGGTCTGTGCCTCGCTGCTTCTGTGCCCAGGCTCTCAGTCTGCTGGTGGAGGCTGACACGGTCTCTATTTTGGGACTGTACAGCCCTGCCTGTCCCACCCTGTGCCTGACCCCCCACACCAAATGACGAGGCCACCACTCTGCACCATCTGTTTACTGGTTTTAATACCCACAGGAGCACAGAGAGGGGGTTTGGGCAACACGTACACAACTCCAAGCCTGTGGTGGTGACTTCTGCCTTTCCTGGGAAGTGCAGAAGCACCTCCACACCCAGGAGGGTGCTGAGCTGCAGCAGAGCTTGGATGTCCCCATGTCACCCCCCACCAGGGTGTCACAGGATGAGAACCCTTGGGGCAGAGGTGGGAGAAAGAGGCTGAAGGTGACACTGGCATGTCACTGCCATCCCCTGCCCATGGTGTCCCCCTTGATTTCAATTCTGTTGTGACTGCGGGAACAAAACTCCCGTTGTGCTGCATTTCGGGTCACTGACGGTTCCTTTGGAGGGGGTCTTTAGTTATTGGGATTTCTTTGTACAGATATAAAACAAACAAGGAGGCAAACACCCAACAGTGAGGTTTCACCCCACGCCGGTGCCTGCGCCGGTGTCCCAGTGCTGTCCCCATCCCCATGAGCTCCAGGGCCTGGGCAGGCGGTGGCTGCTGCCCCGGGGACTCATTCAGTTGTCACGGGGCTGAGCCAGGCCTGGGGGGACACAAGAAGGCCCAGGTGAAGGGAAGGCCAGGCCAGCAGACACCGGGGGAATTGGGGGGGGGGCCTGGAGCTCACCGGGGCGACAGGCCAGCTGGGGCGGCTCCCACGTGCCGTCCTCGCGGCAGCGGATGACGGGCGAGCGGCGCGGGACGAGGCCGTGCCGGCACTGGTACCGCGCCGTGGAGCCGATCTCGTAGCGCTGCTTTGGTTTGCCAAAGGCGCGGGCGTTGGTGAGGGCGGGGGGGGGCCCGCACTGCACTGCAAGGGGGGGTCGGGGTCACTGCAGCCAGCGGGGAGGGACAGCCCCTCCCAGCCTGGAGCAAACCACTGCCCCATAAACCCCAAACGGGCCAAGGGGCCCACGCACAGGAGCTGTTTGCCCGCTGTGGGGATGGTGGGGAACCCCCTCTTTGGGGGTTGCGGAGGGGCACGGCCCCAGCCCGGGGTGGGGGAGGCACGGCTTACCCAGCCCCATTTTGCAGGTGTAGGAGAGGTGGTAGTTGCAGGGCACGTCGCTCCACTGGCCCCCGTCGTGCCACACGATGACCACGCAGTTCTCACCGGAGAGGAAGTAGCTGTCGGGCTGCCCGGGGTGCCAGTTCTCATAGAGCTGGGGGGACAGGCATGACAGGGTGCACAGGGCACCCCAGCACACCCTTTAAGTGTGTGTGGGGGGGTTCCTGCACCAGCACACACCCATCTGCAGCCTCCTGGCTGTGACATCCCCCTCAGGAACAAGGTACCACCTCCATGCCCCTTGGCATGGCCTTGGCACCCCAAATCCCGGGGTCTGGCTTCCCTGAGGATGCTCAGCCCTGCAGAGGGGCTTCAAATCCTGGCCCCAGGGTTGGACCCCAGTGCTGGAGAAGGATGACAAGATGCCAGGCAGGGTGAGGAGACACGAGGGCACACAAGGGCTTACCAGGCCAGACTTACCAAGGGGCTCCCGTCAGACCACTGGAAATCCCCCTCGATGGTCCGGTCGTTCAAGCCGATCCATTGATATTCCCTGTACTGGTCTGGGGGGCAAGGGGTGAGCTGGAGGTGGGAACACACCCAGGCAGCCCAGCACCACCTGGCAGGAGGGGGCTGAAGGGTACTGGAGGCTGAATTTGGGGTCTGGGGATGAGTGCGGGGAAGCAGAGGTGTCCCTCCCCCTGCAGCGGGAGGGTGATGGGAGATATGGGGACAAGGGGAGCCCCGAAACGGACACAGCGGGACCCCTCGGCCCACACCCCGGAGCGGCGGGGCTGGGCTGGCCGGGAGAGGGCGGCATTGCCCCGGGACCCCGCCGGTCCCTGCCTGTCCCCACATGTCCCTGCCGGCACCCGCCTGTCCCTGCCGATCCCTTTCTGTTCCTGCAGGTCTCCACCTGGCCCTGCAGGTCCTCACCTGTTCTTGCCAGTCCCTGCTTGTTCCTGAATGTCCCTACCTGTCCCTGCCTGTCCCCACCTGTCCCTGCAGGTCCCCACCTGGCTCTGCCTGTCACTACTTGTCCCTGCAGCTCTCTGCCTGCCTTTGCCTGTCCTTGCAGGTCCCCACCTGGCTCTGCTGGTCCCTTTTCTGGTCTGACCAGTCCCTGCCTGGCCCTGCAGCCCCTTGCCTGTCCATACCTGTTGCCACCTGTCCCTGCAGCTCTCTGCGAGTTCTCTCCCTGCCCTTCTCCTCCTTCACCCTCAAGTCCCTCCAGGCCTCTTTACTCTCTGTCCCATCCCCACCACTCTTGTCCCTGCTCTGTCTCCCTCTGCCTTCCCCCCTGTCCCTCCACAGCTGCTTTCAGGCGGGTTATTGCTTTGCCTTCAAATTTACTTGCATATGTCCAACCCTCTGCTGATCTGTCCACTTGTCATTGGAACACAGAATTGTTTAGGTTGGAAAAGTTCTCCAAGACCACCAAGTGCAACCATTCCCCAGCACTGCCAAGGCCACTACTAATCCGTGTCCCCAGGTGCCACATCCACATGTCTGTTAAATCCCTCCAGGGCTGGACAGCCTGTGCCAGTGCCTGACCACCCTTCCATGAAGAAGTTTTCCCAATGTCCAACCTAAACCTCTCCTGGTGCAATTGAGGCCATTTCCTCTTGTCCTGTCACTTGTTACCTGGGAGAAGAGCCTGACCCCCACTCGGCTCTCACCTTCTGCCAGGGAGTTGGAGAGAGTGAGAAGGTCCCCTGTGAACCTCCTTTCCTCCAGGCTGAGTCCCCCCAACTCCCTCAGCTGCTCCTGGTGCTCCAGACCCTTCCCCAGCTCCATTCCCCTTCTGTGCTCACACTCCAGCCCCTCAATGTCTTTCTTGTCACCAGGGGCCCAAGACTGAGCCTATCTGCTCCCATGTCTCTCCATGTTACTGTCCATCTTCTCCCATGTCTATCCATGTATCTGTCTACCTGTCCATCCACCCACCCATCAGATCTGAAGGGCCAGGCTCTGTCTCAGCTCTTTGCTACTTTTTTGGCTTAAGTTTTAAAACTTGCGGCCCAGGACTGAGGGTCGTTGGGCAGCGGTCCAGGGGGGTGCAGCAGGGTCTGGGGTGACATCACGTACCATTAATGAAGTCCTGCTCTTCAGGGGTCAGGATGGTGGCAAGATGTCCCCCGTAATGTCTGCACTGGGTCTCCGCGTCCTCCCAGCTCCTCCGGGTGGAGAAGTGCTTGTAACAGGCTCCCTGGAAGCTGTCCCAGCCGGGGCTGCACCTCCTCAGCGCTGAGCCCCGGCAGGGAGCAAGGAGGGAGAGAGGAGAGGGTCAGGGTGATGGAGCCCGACTCACCCCGGACTCCTGGTTTCCCCACTTTTATGTCTCCTGAGCTGCTGCTTCAGCAGCTGAGACGGCAGCAGGACCTGGACAGGGGCAACCCGGTGTGGCCACAGTGGGACCTGGGGGACTCACGTCTTTCACAGCTGCTGCCTCCGTAGCCGGGCAGGCACAGGCAGGTGAGGTGGGTGTCGTCCTCTGTGCAGGTCCCTCCATTCAGGCAGGGGTTGGGGACACAGCCACCTGCAAGGCACACGCAGCCGTCCTCACCGCAGGGGCTCGGGGACCTTGTCAGTGCCCAGCATCGCCAGAGCCTCATCCCTGCATGTCCCACAGCCACCAGGTCTCTGAGCTGGCCCCTAGGACCAGCCAGTGTGGAGCAGGTGAAGGACTCGGGTGCATGGTGACGTGCCCAGAGCCGTCCCACGCTGCCCTTTATCCGTGGGATGGACCCAGCTCAGCTGCCCTGGCCCAGAGCTGGCTGGACCTGTGGCTTTGGCCTCCCCTCTCAGGGCACAGGGACATGAGCTGGATGCTCTCATCCTCCACATCAGTGATCTGGCTGCCATGCCAGCCCCTGGCCCGCTCCTGCTGCCCGGGCACAGCTCCTGCTTTCCCCTGGAGTGACGCAGCAGTTGTACTTTGGGAGGGGAGCACACAAAGGATAAACCCTTCGGCACATCCCGGCTGCACGTCCTCAGCCTGGCAGCAAGGTGAGCCACACGCCTTCCCCTCTGGTGTCACCTTCAGCCTGGCCAGGGCTGATAACTCAGCCGGCGCTGTCCCCAGCCCGCGTGTCCCCAGCAGCTCGTTACGGTCATTAATGCACCCGGAGCACATTCTGTGCTTCCAGCCCAGCTCAAGAGTGTGATGAAGGGCTGCTGCCAGCACCAGCCGAGCAAGGACTGAAAGTCCTTGGCCTCCTTCATCCTAATGGTGCCCCATTTCATGGGCCTTGGCTCAGTGGAGACGTGACAAGGGTGATGCTGTCACCCTCACCCATCCCCAGGCACCATCACCTCCCCACAAGGTGCCAGCAGCTCACTCGGGACATCCAGCTCGTCCCCAGCAGACCGAGGAACGGAGAGGAATGGGCAATTTAGGGCCCTAACATCACATGGACGGCTCTTCCTGGGCTGGCATCTCTCCTTGCCAGGGCAAGGGCAACCACCCCACAAGGTCTTGCCACCCTCCGTGGAGCCTCCTTCATGCCACAGGACCAGGCAGGGCACTGCCAGAGCAGGGGGGAAGGGACCTCACATGGTACCCTCTGCTGCAGCTGCCCTTGCAGGGAACAGGGGGGTTGGGTCTTGGCTGCTGTGCACTGCATTGGAGCTGGGAGCATCCC